GACCCTGCACAGGCATCAAACCCCCATTTTGTGAGTTCACAGATGACCACCTGAAGTTCTACACTTACAAGTAAGTAACCTGTCCATCTAAATATCCTGATTATCACTTCATTGTCATTTCCCCCTTGTCTTCCTCCTCCTAATTCTTTTTTTCTAATCTGGATTTGTTCATTCTGGTGGCAGCTAACTCACAAATAAATTGCCCATGAAATGGGCAGTTATCATGTTGTACTTACTGCACATTTGCAACTTAACGTTCTCCTAGAAACTCTAGTCACTCAGGCTTTGTCTTTGTCAGTCCACATACACTTAATCTATAAAACGCCAGTTCATTCTTCCTTAATCCTACAGTTCCTTTTGGGAAATGGGGAACATGAAATAGCATGTTTCATGCTATTGAAATAACCTCTTGTTTTATTTTGGAATTTATAGCCACTGCTTTTACCATACATTTTAATTGGCATAAAAAATCTGGAAACCAGTTTATAAATTTAATGTGCCATCCTTTGGATTCATAAAAAAACTAAACACAATTTTTAATGGGCAGTATGATACTTCCCAAGTGCATGGCCTGCATTCCCTTCACATATGGTTCTTCTCTCATGAAAAAGATAATTGAACTGGAATCATTCTAAATGAACTTGATTTCAAAATTCAGAAGGTCAAGTAGGAAATTGGGTTTTTTTAAAATTTCTCCTTCACTTGATGTTGTCTTCTTATCTCCAGAAACCATGTAATTCTGCCATAGAACGTTAGATTACCTCAAGCTTCAAGACCATATGGCAGTCCTTTTTCCCTGTTCTTCCATCTGTCTACCCCTCTCCCTGTGTTTAAGAGCTGCTGTCATTTCACATCGTCTAGAAATGGACACTCATTCCACTTAGAGCAATATGAGCTGGCACTACATGTAGTATTGCTCTCCAGCCAAAACTACACTATACAAATCCCCTTCAGTGTCCTTGTGCTAGTAATCCCAGGGTTATTTCTATACTATTGCCTATTTCTGGCAGATTTGACTGGTTTGAGCTGCAACTGTATGTTTCTGTTTTGTTTAATATTTTTCTAGGGGTATCATAATACAGCATCATTGCCTTACTCTTTTATTAACCAAGATATGGTAGCATGGCATGCCTAAGCATAAATCAAATGGTATAGATTTCTCAGCTGAGGAAGAGCATGTTGGGAACTAGTAAACAGCAATAAATATGTCCAATAGGACATACAGTGGTGCCTCGCATAATGATTTTAATTGGTTCAAAAAAAAAAACGTTATGTGAACCAACGTTATGTGAAACACCATTTCCCATAGGAATGCATTGGAAACCGGTTAATCCATTCCAATAGGCACAGATTGCCGTCCTTAAGCGAAAAAAACCCATAGGAAACATCGTTAAACGATACAATGTTTCCTCCATTGGAATGTATTGAAGCTGACTCAATGCATTTCAATGGCTTTGCGAAGTCAATTTTTGCAAATTTAAGTGTGTCATAAAAGGGTCAAAAATGGTTTTAAATGCTTGGATTAGCTTCTGCACCCTCTAAAACGGATGCAAAAGTTAATTTGGCTTTGATCTGACTTTTCGTTAATTTATGGTGAATTTTTCCCCCCAACTTTTGACAGCTGTCAAAATCTGACAGCTCCATTATTTCCTATGGGGGAAGAAAAAATTCACAAAAAATTAACGAAGACTCAGCAACTGTTCTAAATGCTTGGATTCGTTAGAGGACCCCCTAAGTCATGTGCAGACCTGATTTGGCTTTGATCTGACTTTTTATTAATTTATGGTGAATTTTTTTCA